CGGCGAGGGGGCGGGGCCAGGGACCCTCGATGACGCGCACGCCCCTCTTCAGGCGCTGGGTGCGGAAGCCGGCAGCCCCAAACCCCCAGCCCCCAGCCCCGAGCGCTCCACAAAGCAGGGCCGGCCTCCTGCGCGACGCTCGGGACCCTCGGACGGCGGGCCTCTCCTCGCCTTGGTACCCCAGCCCGGCGAGTGCCCGCGGTTCTCTGAAGCCATGCAGCCGTAGCACATTTGCAGGCCATGCCTACCGGGTGGACACCACAGAGGACGCCAGGCACCCTGTTCCCAGCCCGCAGGCCCTGACGCTGTGGCCTGTCGGTCCCCTCCTGGGCTTGTTTGCACAAATCTTTCCCTAAACACCTTGGAGCGTTTCCCTGGTGGCAGGCTAATGGCCTCTGTACCATGCTATTCGGGATAGGGTCAGAACCTTCTCATCTGGAGTCCGCCACCCCCCACCCCGGCATTCACGAAGGGGGGGGGGCTTGTGACACTGCAGGGGCACCTTGGTTGTTTGTCCCCTGCCCACCTCACAGCCCTCGGGCCATTCGGCTGGACCAAGCCCAGCTAGTGGGGAGAGTAAGGAGGGCCAGGGACGCTGATCCCCCCACGTCCTGGCCAAGCTGCAGGTTTGGGAGTGTGGGTGGGTAGGAGGCCCAGGGCCAAGCGAACCCCTCAGCCTACCCGGGGGCAGGGTGGAACGAATTTTGGAACACATTGCCCCTGCCTGGGATAGGCCTGTGTTGAGGCCCACCTCCGAAAGGAAATCCCCGGCGCGCGCCGCCGCTTAAGGTGGACCAGCGACCTAGCATTGCCCGCACTGGGCGGGCGGGACCAGCTGGACAGCTGGTGCAGAGCCTCTGCGAGGCTGGGATGTGGATCAGGCTCAGCAGCCTCCCCAGTGAGGGCCAGCAAGTGTCTTAGTGCGGCCATGCCGCCACCTCCTTAGGCCAGGTTGTCACAGGCCCTGAGTCTTCTTGGTCTGGAGGCCTCTCCTTGATCTTCTCAAAGCTTCAGCTCCAGCTCCAGCGGCTGCGGGCTGAGCTATTAAGGAATCTGGGACGGGGACAGCAGATCCGGTGATGGGCCTTCTCCTGCAACACTCAGTTGTAGCCTCTGGTCTGTGAGCAGTCAGTCCTCCCTCTAGGAGGCCCAGCACGTGGGTGAAGGGCTAGCTCTGAGCTGGGGGTGGCCTGAGGCAGTGGAGGGACTTAGCAGAAATATGGGCAAAGAACAGACCCCACCGGGAGGTGGGCTGTGCAAGTTGCCATTGCCCTGGGGTGGCTCATACAAACAGGCCCTTGGGGCAGGAGGCACTCCAGCCAAACTGTGCCCCATCAGCAGCCTCGCCCTTGCTCAAGCCCTTCTGCAGCCCTGTACTCGGGAGACAACCCTGCCCCCTCTCTGGTCACACAGTCTGAACGCAGGCCCATCCTCCCGAAATGCCCCCACTGCACCCAGCCCCAGGACTGTATTGTGTAGGGGTGCCGGTACAGCCCAGAGCTGTTGAGTGCCAAATGCTGGTCATGGGAAGAAAAGGCACTCATGCCTCCTTGGTGAGGTCCCTGCAGAATGCCTGGACAGAGGGGATCCCAGATGGGGTATACCCAGTGAGGCCAAAGGCCAGGCATCCTCTCCCAAGGAGTTAAAATCCCAGGGAAAGGAAAGGAAAACAGTTTCCCCAACCTGCAGGAACGGAATGGTCGTATGTTATCGTTTCTCTCCACCTCAACACCTTTAGCTCCTCAGTTCTGGCTACCATCATTGCCTGTGCCACAGGGAGCCTCCCTGAAAATACACTGGCTTGGGGGCTCAAAGGAACCCCCCCCCAGGTCCTTGCTCGTCCCAGCGGGGCCAACTGTGGCACTTGCACGTACCCCTTGGCAGCATGTTCTGCAGTGTCAACAGCCACTTTTAAATGCACCCTGATCAAGGACCACTCTGTCCCCCAGCCATTCTGAGTGGCCTTCCCTCCTTGGAAACACATCTCCTTGCCTGAGAGGAAGTCAGCCTGGGGTTTTGCATCAAATGAAAAGTTATCTTTTATTGAAGCCCAAAGCAAAGAAAATGTGAGACAACCATTCTGTGCTCATAGGGAGTGTCTGACCACCCTTCCCTCGAGAATCAAGCCCCTGGGACAAGCCAGCCTCATACATCCAACAGAGGCCCCACAGGGAAGCAACATCTGCCCTTTACAGCATCACAATTCCAATTCATCAAGATAGGTGAGGTGCACAAGTTTCAATGTCCCTCCTTGGGCGGGAAAGACCACTTTGCCAGCGCCCACTTCAAGAGCACCACAAGAAACCTGTGTCCCGGGAACAAAGGCTGCCAGGATATAACAAAGGTGGCCAGTGAAGTCTTCAGTTTTAAGAGTGGCTTCTTTTGGAGGTGCATCCCCCAGAGAGACAAAGGACACAAAGTTTAAACTGGACAAAGACCACAAGACACACACGGCCTAATTAGCAGACTTGGCCGCACTGTAAAGCACCTCTGGTTACAATGTTAATAAATAGCAAACAGCCACAGGAGGCACGAGCGTGTCCACTCTGGGTCGGTCTGAGCTTCATCCTCCCCTGCTAGAGGGTGGGGAGGCCGCAGCTCCTCAGAGCCCTGGTGGTCTCTCTGGGACATATACCATCACAGGTGGGACCATGTACTTTCAAAAGCCTACTGCACACTGAAACCCCTTCTCTCTTATTAGGATGATGTCTACAGAGGCAGCCCATCTACAAGACAAAACCCCAAATGGCACTAACCAATTTTGCACTCTTGAAAGCATCCTTTTATTTAAAGCTATTGCTCATGTCCATAATTTCACCCAGATGGATATACCAGGAGTGAGTGGACAACGGGTTGGTTTTCTCCAGTGATGGCGGTGGGGCCAAGTCCTGCCTGCGCACTGCACCAGACTGAACATGGCATACTACAGGATTGACCTTTCCCAGGCCCACCAAAGACGGCCTTGGCCAAAGCCTAGACCTGCTTGGCCTCCTTGTGCCAAAGCCAAGGAATCTGGTGGTCTTCCTTTCTCTCTGCAAAACAAACAAACAAACAAACAAACAAACAAAACAAAAAGACATCCTACTTACTGCTGACCACAGGGCAAAAACACACAAGGTCTTTGGGAAACAGCACACAGCACTGGCCTGCCCCATTAGCACCAGCTCAGACACACCACAGACCCAGTGGCAACAGTGGCCCAAAGCGCATGACAGCAAGTACATATGACAAGTGGGGTTAGAGCCAGAGTGCCAACCCAACACCCTGGAGTCAGCAGGAACCCCCACTGCTCCCAGCACAGGGCCGGCGCATACACGGTCCTGCCTCCTGTGCAGGTTTCAAATGTGTTGTTTATTCACTATTTTTGATGACTATAAATAAGTGTTTCCACTATGGAAAAGAAAGTTAGCACAGTACATGACTGGGGAATGGATTTTCTGAAGTCATCTTCAATAGGGCAAAAACTTAGAAAAAAACACCTGACTGTTGGAATTCAGTTCTTTATATAAAGTCCCTTGTAAAAACAAAACAGAATAAAAACAAATCAAAAAGAAGGGGCAGGGCAAAATTTTAAAAAAAGGAAAAGAAAGGAAGGAAAAGAAAACAAGGGCAGAGGACTTATTGCTTCTCCTCAGCTTTCTCCTTGGTCTCATCTTCAGACTCCTTGCTCTCCTCCTTCACCGAAAGAGCTTCTAGCTTTTCAGCCACTTTCTCAGCCACTTTCTCAATTTTGCCCGATCCTGCTAAAACACAGGGGAACACAGTAAGGAAACAGAAGAGCACCACTCTCCCTAGCCCATGCTATAAACGGAAGCACCTGCCTCAGGTGAGCCTGGGACACACTCCCCACAGGACAGGCGGCTATTCTCCCATATGCCTCCAGTCACCCAAATACATATGCACTCACACCTGGGACCTCAGTGAGTCTGCTCATTTATGTCTGGTCACTTCACATGGCAGCCATCATCATGCCCCAAGTAGGGAGGTGACCATGAGGACCTCTCAAAGCCCTCTCAGCCTCTGTAGGGCTCTAGTAAGACACTGCGACTTGACCATTTGCCCAAGTGCTGAAAGGCTAGGCCAGTGAGCATACACTCGGGGCCTGAGCAGCCAACTCACTCCCCAGGAAGCCCCTTGTGTCTCCAGGCAACTGTTATCGCCTTTGACAGGTCAAAGTAGTCACAGCACCCCGGAATGTTTCTGTAGCAGACAGAAAAAGCACCCGCCTGGGACTGCAGCCGGGTACAGAGTGAGTCTGCAAGGAAGCCCCCCATCCACGAGCACCACATTACCTTTCTTTTCTCTCTCTTCAATCTCTTTCCTGCATTCTTCAAACTTTGTTTTGAATTTCTGTGCATCTGCAAAAAGAAGAGACTTCCTCAGGGCCCTGAGCAGTGAAGAGTACATGCCCCTCTGGGTCTGAAAAGCCAGGGTTCACCAAGGGCCTGTCCCATTTCTAACCTAAGAGCTGAGCTGTCTAAGATGGCCCCAGGCCCACTTTTGCCAAGACCCTGCATTGACTGTTTCCTGGGTCCTTTTTGAGGCTGGGGGCTATGCTGGGCCATCTCCTTCCATCTGACTTTGTAACAATCTGGGCACAGCAGCACAATGTGGTGGCCTGAAGCAACCAAGAACCGGGGCCTCCTCGCCAGGCACTCTGCTCTCCACTCATGTTGGAAGTAGCTTCTGATAGGCACCATTCCCAGGGCAGAGGAGAGGTCCACTCATTACTGGATGGTGAACTCCACTGAGCTCCAGCACCTACCCAGCTCCCCCAGGGCCCACAGGGCACAGCTTTTGAAAATCTGGGCTGGAAAGACGCCCCAAACAGGGGAGAGGCCAGCCTCAGCCTACGGATCTCGGCACAGCCCCTGCTGGCACCCAGGCGATGGTAAGGTGACATGCTTGCCCCGGGCAAACTAGCTGGCACAGTCTCCTTTGAGGTTAAGAGGAAAGTGCACTGCTCATGGACTCAGTCTTGGAGTAGCCTCAAGGGCACATGGCTTGAATACACTTGGATCTCATCCTTGAGGGGCCAGCAGACAGCAGCAGGGCAGAAACAGTCCCCACCAGTTTCCCAATTACTGTCAATTCTCCCAGAAAAGCAACAGCGTTTCTGTTGATAATTAAACTGGTATGCTGTAAATCAGGCGGCCAGTCAGGGAGGTACAGAAGCCCGCCCACCCATCTGCTTACTTTCAGCATTAAGGAAGCGGATGGCCAGCAGCTCCGGTTTGGGGCGTTCATCGGCAAAATCGGCGTGGGTGTTCCAGACCCAGGCGCGGTCACTGCCCGCGTTTGGCTTCAGCTCCATCATTGGAGTGACTGGGAGAGAAGCACCGTGAGGACAATGCCCATTGCCACATAATTAGCCCACCACCACAGAAGGCCCTGTCTCACTTTGAGCAAAACAGGGACAATACAATAAGAGGTCCACCAAAGTCTTGTGAAATCTGAATTTTACCCAAACCTCTTTAAAAATGCTCCATGTTCGCTTAAAACCAGGACCATCCTAATTTTGGGAACAGGGTGGCCTGCTCCCCGACCATGACGACACCTTGGTGAGGGTCTCCAATCTCAATGCAGACAAGGGCTCCAAAGCCAATGTGGCCACTCACCCCCAGCCCCTTGGTACAACCCCCAGATCCAGGACAGATGTGGACACAATGACAAGCAGGCCCAGCCCTTCCTGTGAAGGGTGTCCCTCACATGGCTGTGGCCACATTCAGCCACACCACCGGGGATCTGGCCCATTGGGAGGTAGGCGTCAGCAGAGGGCTAGAGTTGGGAAGTGGGGTGAGTACCC